TGATAATAATGATAATAATGAAAATAATCAAGATACCAATAAAGTAATGATAATAATACTAATAATAGTAGAAATAATAATGATGATAATAATAATAATGATGATAATAATAATAATGATGATAATGATAATGATATTGTTAATAGTATTAATAAAAATGTTAGTAATAATAGTAAAAAAATTGATGATGATAATAATGACCATAATGATAATAATGATAACAATAATTATAATGACGATAATAATAATAATAGTAATGATAATGATAATGCTGATAATGATGATGATAATGGTAATGATAAGAATGATACTGCTATTACTATCAACAAAGATAATAATAACAATACTAAGACTGAGAAAAATAAGGATGATAATATTGATAATAGTAATTATAGAACTAATGATACTGATTCTATAAAGATAATAATTATAATAAAATAAGTGACAATACAAATGATGAAATAATAATAATAATAATAAGTTGATAACAATGATAATATTTATGTTGATAATGACAATATCATAATAACAATTATATTGGTAATTATTATCAATAATGACAATAATGATATTGATAAATGTAATGCTAGTAATGATGATAATATTGATAATAACGCTAACAATAATGATGACAATAACAATAATGATAATGATGAATATAATGATGATGATAATGATTATAATGATAATAATAATGACAGTAATAACAGTGATAACAATAACGATTATAATCATGATATCGATATTGTTGCTATTATTAATTGTACCAATAGTTTCATCCCCATTATCATCATTGGAGTCATTAACATAAACCTTATCATTATCATCAAAGAAAAGTTATCGTTATAATTGACATTGTTATATTATCATTGTTGTTGTTGTAGAATCATTACTAGGATTATTATTGTTGGTATTGTTAATGTTGTTAGTACCATGACTCTTACTATCACCCTCTTCCTCCCAGATACCATTACAAATTTTGTTATATAATTTTCACAACATAAATACATTCATCATTAATATCATCAGTGTTTTTGTTATCAGTGTTATCATTATTATCTATATGCTATTACTGCTATCATAAACATTATAATTACTACCCTCATCACTATCATTATTACCATTGTCATTATAATAACAATAATTGTATTAGCATTGTCATCAAAAGAGTTCTCAATAATTTTCAATATTATAGAAAAAGAAAAATATCGGAAAATACAATACTGACGGGTAGCATCCCCCCCCCCCCTTTTTTTGTGCGAGAAAAAAAATAACTTTTATTCACCGTCATTACCAAAAAGACCGAGGTTCTTGCATCAGGGTACGCACGCAATTTCCTCGTGTGCTTTCTGCGGAATGCAAAGAATTAGCACGTTATTTGATACATTCTATTTTCCTTTTAGGTGTCCCTGAGAAATGCGATTGTTAAAGAAATCATTGAATGTGTGATGGGAAGATGAAGAAAAAACGATTATAATATGCTTGGTTATTAATAGATCGTTGAGTTCATGATGTAAATGTAATTAGAAAAGGAATTACACACACACACACACACAAGCAAAAACACACACGCACACACACATATATGTATATATATACATTTATATGCAAATCATATAGATATCTATATCTATATCTATCTATCTATTTATCTATATATCTATCTATCTATATGTGTGTATGTGTACGTATATATATATATATATATATATATATATATATATATATATATATATATATATATATATATATATGCATACATTCACACACACACACACACACACACACACACACACACACACACACACACACACACCACACACACACACATATATATAATATATATATATATAATATATATATATATATATATGTATGTGTGTGTGTGTGTGTGTGTGTGTGTGTGTGTGTGTATGTGTGTGTGTGTGTGTGTGTGTGTGTGTGTGTGTGTGTGTGTGTGTGTGTGTGTGTGTGTGTGTGTGTGTGTATGTATGTATGTATAACACACATATATATATATATATATATATATATATATATATATATATATATATATATATTATATATATATATATATTATATATATATATATATATATATAGATAGATAGATAGATAGATAGATAGATAGATAGATAGATAGATAGATACATACATGTACATAGAGATAGAGAGAGAGACAGAGAGAGAGATAGACAGACACACTGACGGACAGACAGACATAGGTATAACTCACAATTTCGGGTCCCTTATCAGAAATGTATCAGAAAACCTGATGAATAACATGAAACCAGCAATCACACTCCAGCGCTGCCAACGGTCATGCATTACGAAATCTTAATTTCACATTTGGCAACACCAATCAGAATCTGACGTAAAATGAGAGAAAACGATTTATAACACGATTTATAACACAGTAACATAGCACATGGAATAGGTTGGCAAGGTTGTCGAAAGGTCGTTTGCTTGCATCACAACGGACTATAAATACGTCACAAGAGATGTCTTTGGCATCAGTATTAGACAGAAACAGCTGTGATGAAGTTTGTGAGTAATGTTTTGTGATATATTGCTGAACCGTCACAAAAATTCGGTGTAGTCTATCGGCCGGTTTGTGATAATTGTGCGAGGCCCGACCCAATGAATATTCGTAAATAGACATGCATATACACAGAAATAAATGTATATCTGTCTATATATCTGATAGATATACATTTCTCTATCCATTTGCCCGGTTGATTTGCGTCTAGACTGATGAATAGGCATTTATTTCTTTGAGTCTATCCTACTTTGGCAGCTGCCTTTAAAGTTTTCCATTATATTTATCTGGATAGGTCAAGACTCATTTAACCTTTCAAATATACGAATATTCTTTGGGTCGGACCGCGCACAATTTTAACAAACCGGCCGTATGACATGAAACGTAAAGTGTTGTACTGCTCTGGCGCTGAAGCATCTCTTATCCACCATTCATTATCAAAAGTAATAAGACAGATCCCAATTTCTTCGACATAGGTCATTCTCGCCGCCCTGGCTGCCGTGGCCACCGCCGTTCCCCAAGGCTACGGCGCTCCTCCCCCGCCTCGCTATGCCTCCAGCGAAGAGATAGCTATCCTGAGGGACGACCGCATAATGGAGGACGACGGCAGGTACAACTTCGACGTGGAGACCGCTAACGGCATCACGGTGTCGGAGTCTGGTGCTCCCGGCCTCAAGGGAGCCGTCAACAGCGCTGGCTACTTCTCGTGAGTGATTTTGTCCTTTGGGCGTCTCGTTGTTGGTTACGTGCAGAACAACGAAATACATACAGTGTCTGTATCGAGATAGATATACATGGAATTAAGCTCAGATTGATGGATGACTGCTGATGTAACGAACTCGATAGACCATATTATGTTATCAATCAAAGCTGTAAGATTGATGAATCTTACAAAAAAAAAAAAAAAAAAAAAAAAAAAAAAATCCTTCCACAGATACACAGCTCCCGACGGCACTCCTGTTTACGTCAAATTCGTCGCCAACGAGAACGGCTTCCAACCCGAGTCCGACCTCCTGCCCGTGGCTCCCGAGTTCCCCCACCCGATCCCTCAGTTCGTCCTCGACCAGATCGCCTTCGCCGCCGAGGAGGACGCCCGCAACGCCAGAAGGCCCTCAGCCACGTACGGCGCCCCACAATAGAGATCGAAGCGTCTTCACTGGTGACGAGGACGATATTGTAGTCTATTTATGATGTGGCGACAGGGATTGCTTCTCTTCAGGTTGTGTTTTCTAATAAAGATGGGAGAAAAGCATATTGTTTGAATATCAGCATGCAAAGATTGTATATTCATGCATAAGGCCTTGTATTAGCCCAAAAGAAAAGAAAATCTGAACAGATTACGTATCTAATGTTCATGAGTTCATTCACAGATCGTTCAAAGGCTTATATTCTCTCTCTCTCTCTCTCTCTCTCTCTCTCTCTCTCTCTCTCTCTCTCTCTCTCTCTCTCTCTCTCTCTCTATATATATATATATATATATATATATATATATATATATATATATATATATATTTTATATGTATTGTTAATAATCAGCGGCAATGAATAACGAAAAAGAATGATTCTTAATGAAGATGCATAATAACAATACTACATGTATTGAAAGGCATAGTGTTTTTGAATGACCTGATGTATCATCGCTTCTCCGTGCATTGTTACTAAACTAAATATGTTATCCGTTCTTCCCTTCTTAAGATTTCTAAGAAGTAATATGCGTATATCTATTTACCTAGCAATCTGTCTATCTGTATATATCTATACACAGACACACACACACATTTATATATAGAAAAAAATAAATATATATATACACATCACACACGCGGCGCGCTCACACACACATACACACATACAGATATATACACATGACATACACACATTTAAAAAAATCTATATCTACATCTACATCATTTTCCCTATCTACCTATATTTAAAAATGTATACATAAAAATGTCTAGAATAATTTGGCTTTCTCAAATCCAAAGAAATTGCAATAGTAAGATTCCTTGCTATGTCTAGGGATATATATTTTATATTTTTTTAAAATTGCTGGACAACAACAACAATGTTAATGCACGCAACGATGAGAAGGGTATAGTGTCCCGTCCATTTGTCCTATCGCGAATATCGTTGAGTGAAAGGTCAGGGTAGAAGAAAAAATGAAAAATGTATGTGTATCAGGAAATCACAAATTTAATGTTTTCTTATATGTTTTTTTTTTTTTTTTTCAGAAATTTCTCGTACGCATTATTCTACAATGCAACGACATAAGCCTTGAGTAGTTACCTATCATAAGGTCAATATATTTGGCCTACTGACCTTCGTTTTTATGGAGGGTTGGTCATCTGCAGATTCACGAGGTATGCAGTTGCTATCTTTAAATAAGTAAAATATTTTATATGCACAGTTCACATTTAACATAAAGAATAAAGTAGTATATATTAAAGATACATAAAAAATAGAAACTATAATTAATGTCCATCCCATAACAAGGAGGAAACTCAAGGTCTCTGCCTAATTTTCTATTTTGTTTTAACACGGAACAAAAATCGAAATCAGGTTTTCACCGAACACCAAGAAAAAGTGAAGAGCAAGTCGAATTGAAATTCTAAACGATATTGAGGGAAAACGAGCTTGGAAATTTCGGGAGAGACTTATTGCTTCACACGAGCGAGAGAGTGTCAGGTTGTGACACCGAGAAAGTTGGCTATCCACAAGACCCTCGGATTTATGATATATAATTTTATAGAAAAGCTGATGTTCAGGATTTGTATATTGGAGCCTTGCGGTTTCTAAACTTAACCGGAATACAGATAAGGCAGTGTTAAATTGAGGGTATTTATGGTGAAACATTCAGAAGGTATGTTTGCATGACCTTAGCAACGAGTGTGTTACAGAAGGGTGTAAAAGTGTGCTGGAAATGACCCTGAATAATTTTACGAATACGGGAATAATGAAATTTGTTCTCAAACCTTCGTCGAATTGAATATCATGTATTTTTTTGTGTGTGGAACGAGGACACATGATAACCATTTCATTCTGTTTATTGCAAATAGAATAACTCTAATATAATTTTTATTTTGAAAGGTATAAGAAAGAAGGTTTCTAAAATATCACTGTAATTAGACGTGAATCTCATGCAAAATTCCCTTTTCATGTAGTAGTAGAAGATTGTTGAAGTTTTTGCATAGGTTTATGGATTTGCAGAAAAAAAAACAAGAGTTGTGAGGAATCAAGGCCCATACGTAACGGGGTGACTTATATGCAATGAAAAAAGAAAGAAAAAGAGAGAGAAAAAACTAAATTTTCCTCCTATTTCGAATCGTACACTAAGACGTAGGTACTGCCTTCAGAAGTATCACGTCAGCTGGTACAGGTTGCCTCCCCCTCGTCCTTCATTCCCATCCCTTAAAAGAAGAAGAGGAAGACAAAAAAAGAAGAAGAAAAAAAAACCAAGAAGAAGAAAAAGAAAAGAAGAAGAAAAAACTAAAAAAGAAGAAGAAGAAGAAGAAGAAGAAGAAGAAGAAGAAGAAGAAGAAGAAGAAGAAGAAGAAGAAAAAAGAATATGAGCGGTGACTTTCTCCTCACGAATATTCTTTTATTGTTGTTCTTCTTATTAACATTATTATTGTTATTGTTTTTACTGTTATTGTTACTATTGTTATTGTTATCACTATCATTATTATTATTATTATTTATTGTATAATTGTCATTATATTACTAATTATTATCACCATTATTGTTATAATTGTTATTATTATTATTATTATTATTATTATTATTATTATTATTATCATACTATTATTATTATTGTTACTAATATTCCATTATCATTATTATTATCAATATTGTTATTATCAGTACTATTATCACTATCGTTTTTCTTGTTATCATTATTATGATATCATCATTATCATCATCATGTGTCATTATTATGATGCGGGTGCTACTATTATTATCATCTTTATTATCATTGTTTTTCATTGTCATTGTTGTTGTTATTGTTAGTATTGTTATTGATTCGTACTATTATTATTATCGTTGTTATTATATATGTTTTTCATTCTTTAGAATCATCTTTTTTGTTATCGTTATTATTTACTATACTTAGCACTATCATTATTAGCATCATATTATTATTATTATCATTACCATCATCATCATCATCATCATTATTATTATTATTATTATTATTATTATTATTATTATTATTATTATTATTATTATTATTATTATTATTATTATTATTATTATTATTATTATTATTATTATTATTATATCATCATCATCATCATCATTATTAGTATCAGCATTATAATTATTATTGTTATTATCATTATCATTACTACAACTATTATTACTACTATTATCATCATTGTTATTATTATTTCTATTATTTTCATAATTATTATCGTTATCATCATTACTTTTATTAATATCATTATCCAAAATTGTTGTTGTCATTGAATTTTTTGGTAGTGATCCGAATCCTGTTTTTTTTATTATTATTTTTTATTTTATTTTATTTTTTTATTATTATTATTTTTTTTTTTTAGGATTCATTAGCACTGCGATATAGGAAAACGCGGACATCGCTAATGTCCTTGAGAAAGGGGTGATTTAAATGTAATTGTATAAATGTATTTCTTTTTTCACTGCATCAGTTGTCTTGGCGGAGGCAGGCGCTCTCTGGGTGCTTTTTGTTGTATAATCATTATTGTCATGATTTTAATTGATTTAAGAACTGTTTTGTCATTATCATTATCAGCACTGTCATTATCATTTACAGAAGTGACAGCAATATTCGTAACAGCAATAAATAAAATTAGCAATAAAAGTAATACAATGAATCTTATGAATATTGATAATGATAAGTGACTGTAATCTAAAATATCACATTGTTATATGCTGCGAAAGGAAAGGTCGAAGTAATGACCCATATTAATTTAGGAATATGTGAAG